ATGTTTCCTCTGACTTCAGTTGTTCTAAGTAATAAGCTGGAAAGAATATAGCTTGTTTTGGATCATTTATATTGGAAAAAATACTTTGGAATTTTCAAAAACATGAATACATGAATGTGTTTTCCTTGGGAATCACACCAAGTGGCTGTCAGATGGAGTCCTGGTTCTAATTGCATGAACTTGTTAAAACCAAATTAATCTCTTTGAGTCTCCTGTTTTTTCATAGGCTTTTTTAAAAAAGAAATGTCTAATTAGCCCACAAACTCATTTTTAAACATCCAAATTACAATGAGGTTTCTGTGTGTTATTCACAGTGCCACCACTGGTGTACCTTGCTAAAAGCAGGTCTTGTTGCGATAGTATCTTAATCCCTCTCCCAGTATAGGAAGCATGACACAGGAAAAAAAAAACCTATGGGCTCTGAGGCTGGCACAGCTGGACTGGAGTTGCAGATCTACCACCTACTGGTTGAGAAATGTGGGCAAGTTAACTTCTTTGCCTGTTTCCTCATTTGTAAAGTGAGAATAATAAATGCCATCTATGTTCTCTGTGACAATTAGAAATAAGAAACATTTAGCATCAAGCAAAGTGAAGTACCTGGCATAGGGTATATTCTTAGTGAATACCGTTGATGGAAATATTTAGTTTTATACTAGTAAGAACTGATGATTTATTAATAATAGTATTAGCTCAGGATGTATGGTATCAAAGGGTTCCTCACTTAAACACAAGAAGTTTTAGTGTCTTATGTTTTTTAACTGCAGTTTATGGCAAAATTTGATTTAATCAGTGACTTTCACACACTTACTTCCAGATGCTACAAGCTGAGGAAACTTCCAGCACCTCCCAGTTGACTGAGCTGATGATGGCTTCCGAATCAACTTTACTGGCTCAGGAACCACGAGAGATAGCTGCAGATGTAATTGAGCTTAAAGGGAAATTCCTAATCAATTTAGAAGGTAAGAAGGAGATGAAAGTAACAAGTGGTATCTAAAGAATTGAATAATTATAGGTCATCACCAACTTTCCAGTGTACTGGATTTATTCTAAAGGCAGACATATTTGGATTCCAAGTTTCTCAGCCAGCTCTTGAAAGTGTCCTACCTGACGATCTTGGGAACTGAAAGCTAGGATAGAAGAGGGAGATTCCTTTGTCCTTTGAATAAATAATAGTCATTGGATGTGAAGTTAGTCTGACTTGTCCTCTTCCCTTTTGGGTCCCTGTCCTTTGATACTTAGTACTCAAGTACTGCCCGGCCCTGCCTACTGTTCCCCAAAGTTGATTCTAAACTTTCCTATTATGCACACCCCGAATTAAAATATTATTTAGCCACTCTTAATGGTTAAGGAACCAATTCTGTTGAGCTCATTCTCACCGTGGTATCTTTTATAAGTGAGCTTTTTGTCGAAATTTCTGTTATAGGAGATTTTATCAACCTGAGTCATCCTTATTGATGGGGGTGGAGTAGCATTAATAGAGTAACAAGCAGATATTTGGGCAATGGAGATGCTGCTTATGTTTTCATAATAGCTTTTAGGTACTAGCAGGAGACGGGGGCCAATTTATAGGCATCAGTTTAAATTGGGGCTTGGCAACATTGACCATGTATTAATAGTAAAGTTTCTGGCTTAATTTGCTTTTTATAATGTTAACGTACATTCTCTGTACAACGACTAGAAAATAATTTACTCCTTATTTTTATCAAAGAGTTAATGGTGGAGAAGTTTTTGGTTCCTTTTGTCCAAACCGAGAAGTTTTGAGTGGGGACACTACAGTTGTCACTATAATTTGGCTTTTTAAAATTCTTAGTCAAGTATGTAGCTGGAGAGAGAGGCAGTGTCATTCATCAGATCTATACCCGGATTCAGAGCCAGAAAGCCTGTTCTGCCTGAGTAGATACAGAACTCAGTGACTTGGGGAAAAATTTAGTTAATCTCACTGAGTTATAGGGTCTCAGATTCCTCAGCTCTCTTCAGCTGTTCAGGTTTATGATCCCATTATCTTGGCTATTTAGGCAATAGGACAGATATGGCAGTATCTGACGAGCTTTACCAAGACAGGAAGGAGAAAGAAAGCTCTGAAAGAGGAGCCCCTATAAACCTGTTAAGAAATAATGATACAAGTTGAATGGCCTATCAGAAATGCTGATGCATTTTTCTTTCATAGGTGGTGATATTCGTGAAGAGTCTTCATACAAAGTAATTGTCATGCCAACTACCAAAGAAAAATGTCCTCGCTGTTGGAAGTATACAGCTGAGTCTTCAGATACACTCTGTCCTCGATGTGCAGAAGTTGTTGGTGGAACATAGTACCCTCATGTTCATAGCTCTCTGAGCAAGAACCCTCCTGACAGTACGGGCTGCAAGTTTAGATGGATTGTTTACAATATTGGAAAGAAATCCAAGATCTAGGTAATGGGCGGAAGAGTAAATGATGGAGGATGAAGGTCAAAATAAAAATTATAAAAAATATTTCCTGTAACTAGAGAAAGAATTATGTATATATACATGCAGAACCCCATATATCTATGGATGGATGTATCCATAACATACTTATTCAGAACACAGACACATACTCAGCTTGCCTTCAAATATGGCTGAACAGAAAATGTTTTATATTTTATAAATATTTTTGACTTACTATTTAAGGTCTATGATGTCTGAAAATAAAGGCATTCTGGAAGACTATTGCCTGATGTTGGTGAAGTTGTGAAAGTAAGTGTCGTTTTGAAGGAGAATGGCAAAGGTGTGTCTCCCTTTAGATTCAAAAAAGTCATTTCATTCTGCCCACTAGTGAACATCAGCCTTTTCAGAATAGCTAGTTTTTTGGGTTGGATTAGAAAGAGGGGAATTCGTTATTAAAGACAGGACTAAATCTCTTAATACGTACACTTATGAATATTAAGGAAACAACAATGAAAGCTGAAAATTTATTTCACTAATGTATATAAGTTCACAACAATGAACAGACACAGAAAATAGCAGTATATACAGAATTTCACTACTTACAATAGATAAACAATATTCATTTTATAAACAATTCAGCATTGGATTGAACTCTTTTAAGGATGGCCAATTCTTTTCAGCAGAAATCTAACTTTCAGAAGCCCAGCAAACCCATCTCTAGCAGGGTGAGAGATGGCTTTTCCTGTTGCTAAAGTGGACTGTAAAAATATTTGTCTCTCATAAATGAAATGGACCACAGCAACTCCTCTAAGTGAATGTTATATTTAATGTAAGCCTAGTATTATTAAATCTGTTTTTTGTGATTTTAGATTGCAATTAACCATGTTTTAAAAAAGCAATTTAAATGTAACAGTGTTTAATTTGACCATAGATGAATTTTTATAACTAAGGTGAAACTTTTTGTTCTTTTTGCAAAAGTATGAAGCGTTCAGAAGCTTGGTTCTCTATACCTTTTTATCTACATTTATCCTGGCCCCTCTAGTTCTACATCTAAACACAACCTATAAATGTAGAAGTTATGATTATTTTAATACTTTTGTTTTCCTTTAGCATTATACAATAGAATTAATTTAACAAGATAAAAAATGCATTTAACATTAATGAAGAAAGATGTGTGGGAATATATCTAGGAAAACACTACTGATTATTGGCTTCCCATCAGTAACTGCAGTAAGCGCTACGTACCTTTGTTTCAGAAACCACCCATTCTACATAAAATCCAACTCCTTTATTTGTGGCTCTTCATTGTTATGGAATGTATACATATGTATTTGTTTTTCTTTCTTCCTATCATATTTATTTTAAAAGTCCTTGATGAAGTAGTATTTTCCTTGATGAACTAGTATTTAACTGATTTTCTTAACCATACAACTCCAAATTCAACTTCTTACAATTCTATGAATGTGAAGTTTTAAGATAACTAGAAGACTCAATGATTTGTGTTATGGTTCTGAGTCATATTTCAGCTTACTATTCTCAGCAATTCCCAGATTTGTGTGTCCTACCAGAGTAAGTTTAACCAGTTTTATTATCTACCTTGCTTAAGTATCCCCCTAAAGGGATAATGGAATTGAGGATTTAATCTTTAAAAATGCCTAAGTTTCTTGGACCAGCCTCCTCAAATTCATACTACTTTCAAAGTATTTAGAAAAACCACAGGAAGAACTAATCTCTTAGAACATAAATACCAAGGGACTATTTCTAGAATTCTTGTACACATATCTAGCTTTATAGAATGTGTCTGGCTGGGGCAGTGGAAATCCAAGCAGAGGCTGGGAGGTTAGACTAGCTTAAGGCCCTTTGCAGCGCTGCTACTCTACAAAATACGTGCCTCGATCAGACTCACAGGCCCTTACCCCAAATACAATACTCAAGACATCTTAAAAATTTATCTTGTAAGATTTTAAATTTGATAGTTAAACAGTTATTAAGTTTTAGCCAGTTAAATTCTTATTTGGATGTGATCTTTTTAACTCAAACATCAGGAGTATGTCCCTAAAGGAAATACACTCCTCAACCCTGTACATTTACAAGTGAAGGAACACACCTCTGTGTCGCAGTGAGTTACTTTACTATGTATCATTAGTAACTGCCCTGTATGGCTACATCCTAAAGACAGACTGTAATTAATACTTGGTATTTGTAGAACTTAAAGCACTTTTTTACAGAGTTTTGGGGGTTTTTGTTTTTGTTTTGGGAGATAAGGGTCTCACTATATTGCCAAGGTTGGCCTTGAACTCCTGGGCTCAAGCAATCCTCCCACCTCAGCCTCCCAAGTGGCTACAGTTTGGTTTTAATCAGTAAATATTTATTTAGCACTTGGACTGCTCTAGGCACTAGAGGGTACAAAATTAGTTGTATTTTATCCTCTCAACCCAGCTGTGAGGTAGGTTTGCTAAAGCTTTAATACCACTAAGCATTTTTTTCTGTACTGTTCCAAAGGACAGAAAACATTACCAAATTCCAGAAGTAGACATTTCTAAACACTTATAGGAAAAATAAAGTTGGACTTAAAAATTTTTAGTATCTTTGCCTTTTTTTTTTACATAAGTTTTACAAGATAATACATTTTTACAATTACCTGATATGGATACAACTTTGCAACTTGGCAAGAAGCAAATCTTAACTTACGTGATAATTAATTTGCTGCATTGTTTGCATCTCAGATTCTCCATTTTGGCAAGCACAACAGGTTAAAGGTTCTATTTAGTGTCCCTTCTGATGAACAGGATGATCCAGAACCCATTCTTCCTCCTCAAGCAAGGCCATCCTCCTCTGATGGGAACAGCAGAACCTCTGGGAAAGGAACCTTCCAGCATCCAGAACTCCCGGGTGGCAGCCCACTACGGGGTTTTAAGCATGATAACAAAAGCATTTTCATAACGTCTATTAAAACAGTGGGATGTATCTCTAACTCTACTGATGGGACTGTACATGAACACATTTATATTTAATTACAACAATATTTTAGATGTGAAATATAGAATCCTATAATAAGAACATAATCTGTAAATTAAAACCAATTTTAAATAGCAAAGTTTACCAGTAAAGCTACTTCAGTGTTTGAATTAGAAATAAACAGTAAAACATCTGTATTAATTGTAGTATAATTGATTTGTTTATATTTTATCTTCACTATTAACCAAAGTGAAGTTTAGCCAGGATTGCACTTTCTAAAAGTTATATATAATTTTTTTTGTACAAAAGAAAAAAAGACATACTCTCCATAAAATTCCAGCTCTTACTATGTAAAATAACCATGCACTAATTCGTGTTGTAATCACACAGTTTTAGACTATGTCCAGCGGATGAGTGTCATAAAGGAGGAATGGATATGGCTTCCACAGCTTCGATGAGGTGTAAGGCTAGAGTGTACTGCCCATGTTTCTCTGGTAAAAGCTCAATGACTTTATTTACTAGTTTTGCTGTCGTTGCAATTGGCACTTCAGTGTTTTGAAGATCCTGGGGATCCTACAAACGGGACACAAAAACAACCTATTAGTTACATAAAATGACACAATAGTTAATGACTAAACAGTTATCACAATAGTTATTTCCCAATAAAAATGCTTTTCTTTGGAACTGGATGAATTAAACTAGTCATTCAAATGTTCTTCATACGTGTTACTGAACAGGCATTTAAGAAGACATTCAGCGACCTGTCTGCTGTCATTCTGTGCTTGCTCACCATTGCTTTCAGCCAGGTGCACAGCGTGGGCGAGAGTCTGGCAAGCAGCTCCATTCCTTCTTTTGTCTGCGTGTGGAGAAGCGCATGAGCCAGCCTTTGCCCCGTCAACACGAGCAGCTGAGACGCAAGGACCTCTTTGTCATGAACCTGTAGAATGGCCTGAGGACAGGAACGTGGAGAAATGATATGGTCAGAGCTAACAGATGTACTTATTCTGTAGGAAAGCAGGGGGTGCCAGTGAAGAGATTCTCATTCATTTTTGGGCTGTGGCCACGGACATAACCAAAGGGAAATCCAAATCGAACTCAGCATTTAAACCTGAATTTCTGCTCATCAGCTGATTTTTGCTTCTCTCATCACCTTATTTTTCAATCCAGTATTACTATACAATGTGTCGTTCTCAAGCTTTTGACAAATAAAGGGAAATATATTAGATCATACCGTGACTACCTAAAACCCTCTAATGGCTTCTGAATACACTTAGAATAATAACCATAGACTCAACTACAACCTGGCCCCTGCCAGCCTCCTCACCTCCTCTCATACTCCTTTACCCCTCGCTTCCTGTTTGCTCAGCCATAAGCCTTCCTGGTCCTGGACCTAATCACACTAGTCCCTACCCTTCTGACTCAAGCACTGTCCCCAGGTTTCCGAGTGGCTGGCTGCTGCTTATCCTTAGGGGCACAGTTCAATTGTCATTTTCCCTGGCCACCCTCTTGCAGTAGCTCCTGTTTATTCATATGATCCTGTTTATTTTCTTCACGGTACTTGTGACTCAACACCAAATTTAGCCAGCCTGCTTTTCCGCACCTGTCAGTAGACTGTCAATTCCATGAGGAGAACTTGCCTGTTTTGTTTACTGCTATACCCCTGTGCACAGAGCAGGTCTGGCACCCTGTAGGAATTTACTTGATTCTATTTTTATATTTCAATATTCTATTGTTCTTTTTTTGTGCCTGGAAGTTCTACCAAAAGGAAGAGTAAAAAGCTTTATTGGAAACTTTACTGATTCTGTATTCCAACTATCAATTTTATAAACTGAGCTCAATTAACATTCGTAGGTCACGATTACCTCTTCCGCTAAGTGGTCAACTCCATAGTTGTAGAGTTCCCCCACGTAATGCCGTCTGATAACGTCCTCGCTAACTTGAAGGTGATGGGCTAGATCCACAGCTAGAACCGGCCAGTCTTGGTCTTTCCCGAAAGGAGCGGTTGTTGCCTCTTCTGGGGGATCTTTGTCCTTTCTGATTGAATGTTGTGCCTGGACAGCTGCACTGACAACTTTCAATAAGAACTTGAAAGTGGAGAAGAGATACGGCAATGTCTTATTGGTGTGTTTCATTAAAAATATCTAAATCGAAGCAATCGTTGGCTTTTCTGTCAATTGTAGGTAGCTTTTATGTTAAAATTGTTTAATTATCAAAAAGGGAACACATAATTTAAACGGAAACTAGTTCTCAAGAATACTCTGAAAGTGGTCGTCCTTTTAAAGGCCAAGTAGATTTTTGCTTTACTATTTTTTCTCTGAAACAAAGATGAAATCCAATAGCTATAATTTACCTGTTGTCGTGCAGAAATAAAATTTGGATCCATTTCCCCACTAGGTAATAACTGAATTGAAGTTAGGTCTTTGAAGAATGCATTTTTTCCCTAAAGAGAAAGAGATCAAGAAAACTGGTAAGTGTGGATTATTAAGTAGAGAAAAAGGGAAAGATGAAAAAAACGTTAAGCCATTTAATCAGGAATAACTCAGGGTTAATTTTATTTTCTCCTTGCACAATAAGATTTTAGCCTTTTGTTCATTTAATTTTTATAACAATTATCTAACATGTAGAAGGCAGCCTTTAAGATGGTCCCCACTGGTCCCTTCCTGGTATTTGTGCCTGTGAGGACTCTTCCCCTTGAATGTGGGCTGGTGAGGCTGGTGACTTGCTACTAGTAAACAGAATTAGGTAGAGGTGACAGCATGTCACTTCCAAGATTTACTGCTGCTGCCTTGAATGCTCGCATTCATTCTCACTCGCTCTGAGGGAAACAGCTCCATGCTGTGAGCCACCCCATGGAGAGGCACATGCGGCAAAGAACTGATTCTTGCCAACAATCATGCTTGGAGTCAACTACCCCCATCCCATTTGAGCCTTTAGATGAGACCACAGCTCCAGTGAGCATCCTAACTATGGCCACATGAGAGACTAAGCCAGAGGCACCTACATAAGGGGAAAACAAATTTGTGACCCACAAAAACTGTGAGTAATAAATGTCTGTTATCAGCCACGAAGTTTTGAGATAATTTGCTTTGCAGTAATAGATAATGCATAGTATGTACTCCAAATCCTTTTAAAAAAACACTTGAATTGTCTAAAAACGCCTTGTTTAAGAGAATGAACGCGTGTGTGATGAGTCAAAACAGTACCAGAGAACAGGATTTCGGAAGTTCCTTGGAAGGAAATGTGCTACACAGCAAAGAGCACTGGCCTGTAAGCGGGAAGACCCAGGCTCTAGTCCCAGGCCCACAACTTCCAACCAGGTTGCCTTGGGTGACTCCACCAACTTGGGTTACTCTTTCTTCTACAAACAAGTCATCCAATATATCTTCTCATACACTTTCCATGGCTAATCATCTATGAGTGTAGGTCATCCAGTGTGACTGCCAAGTAGGCTAGAGCTACACGTCCTTCAGTGATGATAAATACTAGACTTCCCAGAGCAACCCATCACTGTTTGAGAGATTTACTGTTCGTTCACTCACCCGCAATCTGTTACTTTGTAGTTCCTAATTGGTGGTCTTAGATATAAGGGTTATAATAGTACCATTTATTATTTACTATGTTCCAAACACTACTAATTACTTTATGTTGAATAGGTCAATTAACCCTCACAGCCATGAGGTAGGCAACAGAATTACCTCCATTTTCTGAATGAGAAAACTGAGACTAAGAGAAACTAAATAATTCTAGTTAGCAAATGGTAACACTGGGATCTGGTTTCACAAGCCACCAAATCACACTACCACTCTATGTAGTCTATGTAGAGGAGAGACATGCAGCTGTCTGAGGTCATCTCAGCATGACATGGGTTAAGACGTAACATCGTAACTGTGCTGGTCCAATGCTGGATACGTCCTGGTTTCACAGAGTCCCTTTTTGAGGGAAGTACTGAGCTGGACACTTAATTTTGATATATATATTTTTTTTTTTTTTAACTTTTAAGTACCCTTTTCTTTTACAATCTTAAATGAAAGATATAATAATCCACTCAAAATCTTTACTTACAATGTAAGTAATATGTAATGTTATTTCATTAGGAAGATGAAAATTTGTCATCAGACTTCTCCTACCCTATCTTTCAAAAGTAAACTCTTGGAATCTAAATGTTAAAGGTTACTGATTAAAAACAAATTTCTCAAAACATATTATTTCTGCTTAGTTTATACCTTCAAATTTAACATGTCCAAAATCATTCAAAATGGGCTTCCTTGTAAATGGTATACCCAGTCTCCAAAGCTTGAAACTGGATGTAACTGTAACCCCTTCCATCTCCTTGAGCACTATACCCAATCTGCTACTTATTTGCTGACTCCTCCAAACCCCTTCATGATTTTATTACCTCCCCTGAGTCCACATCCTCACCAACTCCTGCTTTCAGGGGTTTCCCACACTCTACTCACTATGTCATCCAGTCTCTTCTGCATGCCGCTGCCATGTAACTTTTCTTTAACATTTCCATAACTATAAATGCATTAAACATTTAATGAGCTACTATTATGTGCTAGGCTTGGCACATGGACATGGGAACACAGTAAAGAGGTGGTAAGTTCAGGGAATGTAGACAAAGACTCTGAAGAGAAGATGACACGTAAGTAATAACCTGAAACACAAAAAGGAGTTGGCCATACAAAATAGCTGCCTGTGAAAACTGAGTATCACAAATGAAGACAAGAAGTAATGTACGATTTCTCTGAGGAATGGAGGGTTCACAGTAGTCACAGCCAGGGTGAAGGAGAAACACTGATGAAACAGGAAAGGTGAGTAATGGCTGTGGGGAGCCTCCTGGTTCCATGTTTCCATGTTTTGGGGGTTCTGTTAGGATCATATTCCCCGGTCTCCTGCTTCACCCCACACTCACTCCTCCCCGAGATGGACTGGTGAATTTAGGAGAAAGAGCTGAACATTCTCAACAGCCCCTTGGTTTTCCCTCTTCAGGGAGGCAGTCTTGCCACAGGGAGAGCACGCTCTCTGCTCCTACACGGCAGGTACTTCAGGGGTCCCAGCTGTGCCTGTCCTTGAGTGCACAAGTCTCCCACACAAGGGGAAATGATAAACCCACTTTCCCACCAGGTGTTCTCCAACCTAGCTTCTAGCAGTAAGGCACTAAGTAATAAAGCTGACAATTTTCTCTCCAGTGGTCTGAATCCTATGTCTGTCTCTCATTTGACACCTGCATGGGGAAGAAAAGGGTTTTACTATCCACAGCAGCCAAATTGTGAAGGTCTCTTACATATTCTACTAATGAGTTTGGACTGGGTGCTGCAGGGGAGCCGGAGTCTCAGGCATGGAGCTAACAGGCTTAGGCCTCTGTCTTGGGAAGACAGCCCTCGCAGCATGGCACTGGAGAGAAACTGGAGGCAGGGTGATGAAGGGGCTGCTGTCAGCCGAGGGAAAGATGATGAGGCCTCAACGAGGGCTACCATGCTGGAGAGGAACAGACATATACAATGTAAGGGAGATTTACAAGAATGGATTTACAAGAATGGATTTACAATGAAGTAAATTATCTAGAAGTGGGGAATTAGCCAGAACACTTCAAGGTTTCTAGTTTTTTGCCAGTGCAGAAATGATGACATCATTAATCAAATAACCAAGCCAGGGAATTCAGGAAAACAGCAGATTTAGGTCAGGGGCAGGATGGGGGTGAGGGTTTGCAGACATATTTTAGATATGAAGTGTCTGAAGTCCCACAGGACATTCAGAGAGAGACGTTCAATAGTAATACATGCCCCAAACTCTGGGGGATAGGTCAGACCTAGAGATATATAAGAGGGAAAAATGTGTGTATCCAGGAAGAACATGGAGAATGAGGAAGGCAGACATGAGAGCAAAACTCCAAGGGACACCAATATGTAGGGTAAATCAGAAGAATGGAATCAAGCAGGGAATAAAAGAGTTGGAACCTCACAATGAATTTTATTCTACACAAGTCACAAAAGCACTGAACAACTTCTATTAAATAAGAAAATCCATGTGTCTGCTAACCCTGCAGCTTTAAAATAGCTCTGAAATCCTTTGAGGTACTTACCTTACTGTCAAAAAGTGAAAGTGGCTTCACAGACTTCAGAGAAAACCTCATGACTGCATACAAGATGGAGCACAAGATGGAATGGTGCTCCACCAGTGGGTAGTGGATGTGTTTCTGTTCAAGGGCCAGTTCCACTATTGAGATTGGTCCTTCCACAGAGAGCCAAGCATCCTCAGTATCCAGGACGGGGACCTGCATTTCATCCCTGCTAACATCTGCCTACGGGTTTTGAGAACGGAGGACTGTGTTCAGAATTGGAAAGCTAAGAGCTCACAAATATCCTTATCAGTTTATTACCAGCAAAGTGCAAACCCATACTCCACATCCCCTAAAATTGTAATAAAAAATACAAAATTTAATTTTAATAACAATTTAGTAAGAAACATCACTACTTTTTGGGCTTAAGTCAAAAGTCAGAAATGAATAAATGAGAAATAAACTCATTAAAATAGTCCTTTCTTAAGTCCACTGATTTTCAGAATAGTATCTTAGGAGCAGTTCAGAATAATAATATACCTCTTTTACCTCCATTAAAGTCTGAAGAAGATCCAAGCAGGAGCCAAGGAAAGATGTCACTGCTGTGTCACTCATTCCCACATCCTGTTTTTAAAAAGGAAAACAATTAGGCCCTGCAACAAAACTGCTATAGTTACTATCACAAAAACAAAAAATAGAATACAACACACCTGTTTAACTGACTTTCTGCACTATTAATAGGCGAGAATTTGAAAGTCAAGGCATTAACACATTTAAGTTCCTTCTTTTAGATTCTTTAGAGTCAATTAATTTTAAAGTTAGGCTTTAAAAAGTGGTACTACTATCAAGTTTTAAAAATTAACGTTCTTTACGTATTGTAAAGATGCATTCTCACCAGTTACTACAGATGGCGGCACTCCTGTGCTCATTGTTCAGTTTGCATTTGATAGCCAAATAATCATAGTACATGGAAGACGTACACGTAAGAGTCCAACTCTAAAAGTTCTAAGAAAATGGCCTGGTCTGGTTTCAGAGCATCTTTTAAGGACTGAACTGAACCCTCAGAACAAAACCAGAATCCCAAGCTTGAGAACTAAATACGACATTCATGCTGTGGGCAACAGTTGGTCCCCTTGACTCCCTTATAGGGCTTGTCCAAGGGGTCGCTGCCTTTGCGTGCAATCTTTTTGAAACTAACAACCAATACATTCCTCACCGCCTCGAAGTAAATAATTCAGAGAGTGTGTGGGCACATATGTAACTAGTCATACAACCACTCTTAAGAACACACTAGAATAATTCCCCAACAATGGTGATTTTTTTGAGAACCGAGGGCCTGTAACAGCTGGATTCATGTGTCCCAATTATTTCTTAAATATATTTGTCATATGAACATTTCAAATTTCCAAGCAAAAGCTACTAGCACTATTAATCACTGGCCCCAAATACAAACCCAGTATCTGTGGATCGGAATATTATCTAAGACTAATATTGTATCTATACAATGGTTATTACATATAGGTAAAACAAATTCACTATTCACATGAAACTACTTCAGTTTGATGCTTTTACTATAAATTTCTAATCTGAAGTAGAGAAAAAATATGCAGCAATGGTAGCATGTTATGCTGCTGTCCACAGTCCAAAGTTGAACACATCTTACGAAAACTTAGCTTTAACATGCTGACAATCTGGAAAGCTAAATTAAAACTGGCCATAGTTCATGATCAGTTTCCTTAATATAAGTATTCTCTTTTCATTTTTCTTATCTCCAGATATGTCATCAAATTGGTAAAAAGCAAAGTTCACCCCTACAGTTAATAAGGTACTATATAAAGTGTAGGATTAACAACTGTAATTATATAATAATTATGGGAGATCGCTTACCCTTCGGCATAACCTATCCTTTGGTGCTTTTCCAACCTAAGATAAAAAGACACAAAATGCTGTAATACTTAATAATTTAAATCAAGA